AATCTGCAATAAGGGCATTCTAACCACTGTGCCCCCATGGCTCTAGAAATTTTGGAATATAAACTATATGAATTGTTTTATTACCTATTATATGTGGCTAGCATAACTGTAGTATTTTTACATGGTCATTATTTTTTTTCAGAAATACACTGTAGTGCTACTACTGGATTTACAAATCAATGATGTGTGTATTTTTTAAAACACAGACACAAAGTCAGTTCTCTAAAAACTGCATGTTGCCTTTCATGTGTTTCACAGATATTTCCCCAAGAATTCTGTTACGTTTGGGATTAATTTCTCTTTTGACTTAATGTCTCCTTTGCCAAGAAAGAATTTAAATGTAATTCTCAGGCGCTTTGGGAAAGATAAGTATACCTTTAATAAGCCTGAACTGCCATCGTTTTCTTCACTCTTTCGCTCCCATTTTCCAGATTACCTTTTAAAACAAAGTATGTGATTTAAATGAATTGTACTTCTGACAGCCACATAAAGACTGTTTTTCCAAAAATACTGCTGGGCTGCAGAAGTGCTCACGACAGTAATAGTTTCTCTAAGCATCTGTGTATGTGCGTGTGTGTGGTTCATTACTTATATTCCAATATAACTTTTGTTACACAGTATGACTCATACTATTTACGGCAAATGAAGAAAGAAAATTGGAGAGGAGAAAGGGATGATTCCAAAGCTACAATGAAAATGCACAATTCCAATTGTGCATTACAAACACACAAACACACACACACACAGAGGGGTGGGTGGGGGAGGAATGAGAGAGGAAAAGAAAGAGGAAGGAAGGAAGGAAGGAAGGAAGGAAGGAAGGAAGGAAGGAAGGAAGGAAGGAAGGAAGGAAGAAAGATACATAGCACTGCAGAATTACGAACAAAAGCAACATATATTCCATATGACTGCAGACGGCACATTAGAGAATCTCTTAGGAAGACCTGTAAGGCAGGCCAACTTCCATCTATCCATCTATCTCTATCTATCTATCTATCTATCTATCTATCTATCTATCTATCTATCT